GGGGAGTTCCGACAACTGTTGCGACAGTGCATCAGACAGTTGATGGAACAGTGCAGGAATGCAGAGGGAGTTCAGACAACTGTTGAGACAATGCATCATACAGTTGTTGGAATAATGCAAAAATTCAGGAAAAATAAGGAGGAATTCATTGTAAAGGGAAGTTGATTATGCTACTGCATATTTTTTGTTGTTATTTGCTTAATAGAACAACTGGGGAGTAAATGTTCTGACCAATCAATGCCAAAGGGGGAGAGTGTTAGAATCTCAGTGGGATTCTAAGTCCACAACACGAAGTGGAATTCTATGGAGATTTGTATTAATACGAGGAACATATTTTCCTTAATTATCTCATTAGATAATTTGAGAAGAAATATTTTATCTCTCCATAGTAACACCTGAACGTGTGTATCCAAAATAGAAGGAATTTCACTTCTTTTAATATTGTGTTTATTGTAATTAATTGGTTTAGGTCTTCACAAGAATATAAATGGAGGAGCTAATGGCGAAGTTATTTGCTGAATCTTTTATCACGTGGAGGATTTACCACGTCAGCCTCCAAGTCTACCAAGCCAAGTAATCAAAGGGGAAGAATGAAGTCATGTACAAGGGGAGCTGCCTAAGGATCATTTACAAGAGAGAAACACATGCAGGGGGAGCTGACTCAATTGTGAACCACCTGTCGAAGCCACTACTGTGGGAACAGTTGCTCTAACTATGGCACTTACTGCTACAGCAGTTCATGCCACTCTTGTTGCTGAAAGATATAATGATGATGAGTTGTTCCTTTAATGCTGAGGATGATACTTAGTTTTATCGCTTCCGTCTATCATCTGATTGTTTTATTCTCAGATTTTTTTACTCAGGGGGAGAAACTGATTATAATCAATAAACGACAAAGGGGGAGATTGTTAGAATCCCTTGGATTCTAATTATACGAGAATTAATGAAACTTGTGCCACAAGTTTGCATATACCGTGAGCTAAAGAAGGGAAGAGTCCTTGTAGCTTTTAATTCTTTTAATTTGTCATTAATTGATTTATAATAGGAATTATTCTTCTACAGAGTTTCCTTGTATTGAAAATATTATTTCCTACGTAATTAAGAGTTTCCTAACCCTAATGGACTCTATTTCCGTGTAGGATTCTTATCAACCTTAGAAGAATAAATACAGCAACACGGCGCCTCAGATCTTACGTCTTGTTGGAGAGAAAAATTTACACAGGATATTTTTCTTTACTCTCGTTATTTTATTGGCGTCTTTTTTATCAAGAGAAGTTCAAGAGAAAATATTTTTTTCCTCTCGTTTTTATTGCTCTATTGTGATACTTGATTTTCATAGAAAATATATCGGCTTCAAGGCTTTGTGGTGAAGACACCAAGATTCAAGGATTATCACAAGTTTACTTCTTCTATACAAAAAGAAGATCGGTTCTTCGAGGGGCTTAAACAGATCTCGGGAGGAGATCGATCCGCCGACTGAGGGATTCAGCGTTGAAGGGAGTTCAACCGTGCGGAGCAAGGGACGTGCTGCAAATTGAAGATTTATAATTCAGCGTAGTATACGAGAACGACGTCAACAAAGAGGGAGTCTTTGTATTTTGATTAAGTCCTAATATTGTATTCGTAAAACTAAAAATTAGTAAATTTCATTTGCAGGTCCCCGTGGATGTAGGGTACAATTGTATCCGAACCACATTAAATTTGTGTCTCGTTTATTTCTGTTTTTACGAACTGCTTCACGAACTGTTGCAACACTTCACGCAACAGTAACTTAAAATTGAATCTGACACAAAAAAATTAATATGCACGAAATAAATTCTAACAATTGGCATCAGAGCCTGTCACTAGATACACTTAGTGAGATTTTGGGATTTAATTTTTTTAATTTATTTTGTGCAGATATGCTTCATCGTGAAGAAGCGTCTACAGTACGACCACCTCTCTTGGATGGATCAAATTACTTTTACTGGAAATCGAAGATGAAAATGTTCATCAAGTCAGTTGATGAACGAGCTTGGCGTGCTATCGTGAGTGGTTGGACCCCGCCCATGGCTAAAGGAACGGATGGTATGCAAAACGGTAAAACCAGAAGAAGCATGGACTAATGAAGAGATATTACTTGCCAATTACAACTCGAGGGAGATAAACTCAATTTTCAGTGGCGTTGGTGACAATCAGTTCAAACTGATAGCATCGTGTGAATCAGCAAAAAGGGCATGGGAGATCCTAAAAGTGACGTATGAAGGCACATCAACTGTTAAAACATCTAAGTTGCAGATGTTAGCCACAAGATTTGAGAGTCTTCATATGGAGGAGGACGAGACGATTGCTGATTTTCACGCTAAACTGTGTGACATTTCAAATGAATCGTATGCACTAGGTGAACAATACTCGGAAACAAAGTTGGTAAGAAAGGCACTGCGTTCATAACGAGAAAGATTTGCTTACAGAGTTGCAGCAATCGAAGAAGTGAGGGATATCAATACGCTGAAGCTAGATGAACTCAATGGTAAACTGCAAACCCAAGAAATGAATTTTAGAGAAAATATTTGAGAAAAGAAAAAGGTGAAGAATGTGGCATTCCAGGCTGAAGCTTCCCATGGCATCTCACAAGACAAAACATTTCATGAGTATGATATTGATGTTGAAGAATCCTTAGTCAATGACTATAAATTTTTAATCAATGACTATAAATTTTTACTAAATATTTTGTACGCATCAGATTAAATCGTTTGGGTCCGAGTAGTACAACCCCTCTCGGACTCTAGACAACCCCAACTGTGTTGCCCACCATCACGTAACTTGAAATATGATGGGCATGCCCTTATAATCTTCATCATTTATAATGTTTTTTGACAATGGGTACCCTATCGTAGACTCTTGCCCGTTCATTCTTTTAATACATGGTTTTGTCTTATAATTGTTTTTATGGAAAATCAAATAAATTAGTGATGTCACTTCAAATTTCATGCCAACATGGACTCCTCTAGACAAACTTTTCACAATATGTTATGTTGCAATTATTAGAAAAACTTGATCAAATTTTATAATTAATATTTAAAAAACGGGAATCGGGGGCCAGACCGCCAGCACAAAGGCCGTACCGGATGGGTCCTTCAGAGTTGGCTGAACTTAGAAGGCAACTGGACGATTTGTTGAGTGCGTGTCTCGTGCAACCTTCCAAATCTTCTAATGGGTTGCCGGGTTTGTTCCAGAAGAAGCATGACGGTTCAATGAGAATGTGTGTAGACTATCGGACATTGAATAAGGTTATTTATAAAAATAATTAAGTACCTTATTCCTAATACGCTGAATTTTTCAATTAAATTAATTGATGAGTAAATCAGACTATTTCATATTAGTCCATTTTATTCTAATGTAATAAATTATTTAAAGTGAGAAGGATAGATGCATAACTGCTCAAATTATTATTTTATTCAGTTTTCTAGAAAACCCGAAAATCACTTTTGCATTCAGTTTAGATCTAATCTATTTAAAATGAATGGTAATTTAGGGGGTATCTGACCTCAGCCAGTTTTGAGCGATCGGACCCTAGAAAATTCAACATACCAGACTTGTTGATCTTTCATCTTCTTCCCCACATAATAAACAACGAAAATAATCACAGCAGGTGATAACAGTTTCTTGGACTTTTTTATTTTTTCTAGAGATTGAAAAAAATAAAAATAAAAAATGAATAGGTTTGCTTATATTTATACTGCAGCTCTGAAATTGTCAGTCTTCTTGATCCACCACTCCACCTACACTTGGCGTTTTCCCAATTACCTTCCGATCAGGTTAGCGCCATTACCAGAGTTAACGAAATCTTACGGAACAACACCGGGCCTTCCTTCGTCTGGAAAACAGTCGGAAAAGACACGAATACATGTTGGTGGAGGGGTGTTTTCTGCAAGTGCTTGATTTGCGTGTGGGCTTACTTATAATGATAGCTATGTTCTTCTGAAGAAGATACTATGTATAACATCTTCACAACCCTGGAGGACAAGCTTCTCCACTTGAGGTCATCCACATGGCGAATATTGATTTCAAGAAAGCAATTGAGGCAGCAAGACAAGATTCTCCACATACTACAAAGCTTAATTATTCTACACGAATACAACTTCGGTCCGATTCTTCTCTTCCATCGTTCCAGCAAAACCATCTTGCTTTGAAATCCCTTAATTAATGAGCCTCAGGTGCAGGTGGAAGATATCGAGCTTTGCAAAGTCATTGATCCTTCGAACAAGTTTTTCTACTGTTGCAAAGTGATTGCAAAATAATTATTCGACACGTTGGATTTTCAGAGTATGCTTACACAATGAGCGTCACGAAACGTCTACAGAACTGAACTAGCGAAATGCGTATTGAGCAACTCAGCTCGGCTCAGCATAACAAATGGGATCATATTCTTGATTTTCAGCCTCAAAGTCAGTCTTGTGACTACTGCGATCTACTGTCTGTTTAACTATCAACTGAAATTGCAATATCTAGGTATTCCTTTCGTGGTTCGAAATTTATGTACTGTTTTATAATTTTGAATTACTAATTTCCAACTTTATTTTTTATTCTTTATAGACACTCTCAAATACTCTCATTAAAAGGGTCACTTTGAGGTTAATTTTGCAGTTAGATAAAATGCAAAATGTACTGCGATCTACTCACTCTCCATCTGTAAGACGAATATGAGCATAACTGAATAAGATAAAATGGTACAAGTCCAAATAACTATGGTTTATTAATCCATTATTATAACCACGCATATTCATTAGCACAAATATAAGCACTCCCCTAAAAAAAAGTATCCAGAAGAAATGAATTATACATGAATTATACTGTAGCTGCAGGGCTGTAAAGAATACGCAAGTAAATGTAATCAAATATTGGGGTTATAAGTTTTCAAGTAGAAGACAACTCTAAATACTATCTTAACTTCTTTCATATTTTGATTTCATCTCAGCAGATATTGCCGCAATTTGTGCACTGAATCGAGAAATTTCCAGCTACTTCTTTGTATACGGTTTTCCACCATTTTTATCTACAACCGCATCTACTAAGATAAGAAGTTTCTTCAACTGTTTAGATTTCTTGAATTCGTCTTTTGTTTTGTTATCAAAGAGCACACGTCTGTTCCCATTCTTCCTCAGAATTTCCTAAATACATGTCAAATTAATTCAGAAACAACTTACTATACATGAATGAACAGCTCTTGTAAACATCGAGAGGACAAAAGAAATGACAAGCATTAATATGGCTTAATTGATGAATCCAACTTCACAACAAAAAAATAAAATATTTAAACATCCAGGTAGGTGGCAGCTATTTCAATACCAACATTTACATACCTTCAAGGGTTCAAGGTGATAATATTCCAAGTAATGATCAAGAGTCACATCATCGTCAAATTCATCACCACCGGTGAAAAGTACAATCATATGGTCAATAATTTTCGGACCAAAAAAAGAAGATATGAATTCCAGAATTGCTTCATCTTCTCTTGAAAAGCGATATCGGACTGTCAGGACGAGAACAATAGCATGGAAACCATCATTTGCCAAATCAACGCATCTAGCAATTTCCATTTGAAGAAATTCAGTATCACCAGAATCAATTAATCCTGGCAATTGCATGTAGCTCAGCAAGTCAGACATATTTGAAATAATAACTCACACTCACATACACACACACACACACACACATATATATACATATATATATATATATATATATATATATATATATATGCTAAATTAGATGGTTGAAATAGTCATTTGGCTTGATTCTTGCCTATTTCCCCCCAAGAAAATTCCTATTTTGATCTTATACCATTATACCCATAAACATTGATCATTTATTTCCTAATATGCGACAACATCCACCCCAATGCAGTCCAGGAGTTTGTGTTAGTTTTCTGTTGATCATACGCCTAGCTAGATCTAATGATTTTGACGAGGAATATAAGGATAGTGTTGAGTGTAGATATTACACTCAATACATTTACATTACGTGGATCTTTTGTTTAGATTTAATTATATTTGTGATTTAATTGATTGATACGAGAATTAGGTGGCCATGAAGGAAAAAATATCAAAAAGAAAGGAAAAAAGTTGCAAATAAGGAAACAAATCAAATTGGAAGAAGGAATCTCGCCACAACTTTGACAGTGTCCACCATTTCAAGCATATCTCTCTCATACGAACTCCGAATTAAGTGATTTTGGCGGCATTGGAAAGCTAATTTCAAGGGCTACAATTCTTAGTTACACAACATTCCAAAATTCGGACTCAAACATGGCACAAATCGACGAACATATTCTGATGGGGGAAAGTGGCGGAAATTGATTCCTATTAGGTTTCTACTATTTCCTTATCAAGAAAAGCCTATAAAAGCAACAAGTCTCTACACCATAAGCACGAAATTTTACACCACAAAACGCGAAGAACGAAGATCAACGAAGACTCAAGCATAGTTTTTCTTATTTCTTTTATTAATTCTATTTTGTTTATCATAAGAATTACGAATAGCTAAATCTTTTAATCTAGGATTTTGTTGGAACCCTATGTGGTGATTCGAACTTATTTTTCTAATATTATGCAAGTTTAAATTCCATGATTATTTCTTCTATTTGATCTTATTTAGGGCATGAACCTAGCTAATTTATGTTGTTATGTGTTATTGTTAGAATTGATTGACATATCGTTTTAATAATTAGAACAGGGATAGAAGAGCCTTCGAGTAGTTTCACCGGATGAGTGTGTCAATTGCATGTGGTGTCGTAGACATACAGATATCACCTTAGGTAGCCGTTTACGAGACTTGTTATTTAATGCTTTATTCATAATTGGTTTGCATAGACATATAGTGAATCGGTTATGAATAATAGACTCATAATACACGCGACAGCGGGTTATGAGTAATTGAGTGTCTTGGGTTAATAATCGGAAATCGTAACTTGCATGATAGAGGATTAATTGGTGATGAATTATCGCATAGGGGGAAGATAAAATCCTAGATCCGTTTTTATTGATATATTCCCGTGTTTATTTGCTTTCATAACTAGTTTAATTATTTAGTTGATTAAATTTAACAACTTTATGTAGGCTGGATAAAAATCATAATTGTTAGAATTTTGTACTTAGGATTAGATCATTTGAGTATTCCCTGTGGGATCGACATCCGACTCTCACGAGTCCACTTTTACTACTTGTTTGCGATACGTGCACTTGCGTGTTAGGTATTTTGCCCAACAGATAGAAAGTACTAAAGCTACAAATAGAAATTAGTAATAACATGTACGTGTACCTGGAGTATCAATCACATTCAGAGTTTGGCCATTTTCTAGTTTAATTTGCTCAGAAGTAGAAAAGTTGGGAGCAAGCCCAGACATTGACTTGAATAACTTTCTTCCAATGATGCTATTTCCTGTTGCAATTTTCCCATTACCTGTTTTTCCAACTAATAATATAGTTTTAACCTCACTTGGAGGTGCAGGGGACTTAATTTGAACCCCAACATGGACAAAGAAATACACAAACATACATAAGTTTAAAAGTAAATGCCGGAAATGGTTTTTAAAGCATATATATACTCTTATTAATAACAGATAATAAAGCGCATGGGCTTACTACTATTTGATGTCGTTGCTGCCTCTGTTTCTCGTTCTCCTTTCGATGAGCAGTCTCTAATAACTCCAATCTCATCTTATACATTTCATCATTTGATTTCACTTGAGCGGAAAGTGTCATAATTTCTGCCTTGAGTCGAGCATTTACCTGCTCTGCTATTTGTTGTGCGAGCTTATCAGAGCTCTCTTTTAGCTTCAAATTAACCTACATAAAAAAACAGATGCATGCGAGTTTATGATGAATTATGCACAAATTAATGTATGATATCGCAAATCATTACCGTCTCGGTTATTCTCTTAAGCTGTTCTTCATATGACTTGTGTAGCTCCTCCTTCAATTTAAATTTCTCCTCTTCGGAATTAACTTTAACGGCTGGAGCATCATAAAAAAATTCGCTTGTTGCTCCTCCCTACAGTTGATGATTAACTTACGCAGTGTAACAAATTTCTACAGAACTAAAAAAGGAAAAAAAAAAAAAAGAAAAAAAAAAAAAAGAAAAGAAAAGAAAAACAAGGTGAACAATGAAAGCACTTACCTTCAACTCAACAAATCGCGGACTCATATACGGTTCTCCACCATTTTTATTTACAACTGCTTGTACTAAGGCAAGAAGTTGCTTCCCTTGTTCAAAATTTTGAGGTTCATCTTTTATTTTATTATTAAAGAGAACGTGCCGGTTCCCACACACTCTCAGAGTTTCCTATGTCAAAATACACAAACAACTAACTAATTACGAATTATGAACAATATTCCTGGAAAATCAAGAGAAAATAAATGACAAAAATCATGGTTTAATTCATAAAATCCATGTTCATATGGAACAAATGGAAGACTTAAACATGTAACTACATCAAGATCTTCATAGCAAAATGGTATGACCTGGGCAATAGCTCAGCGGCGGACGTGGACTTGATAATATGTTCCGATAAATAAATTAAATATTAAGAGACTTAAATGAACAACAATGAGATTTGTACCTTATAGTGTTGGGGGCAATTGCGACCAAAATAATCATCAAGAGTATCATCATCTTCAAGATCATCACCACCAGTGAAAACTACAATCATGTAGTCAGTAATTTTAGGGCCAAAAAATGACCGCAACATCAACACACCAGCTTCTTCGTCTTCTTTTGAAATGCGAGTTTTAATTGATGCCACGAGAAGAATAGCATGGATACCATCCTTTGTCAAATTGATGCATTTAGCAATTTCCTTTCCAATAAATTGAGGTTCAGCCGAACAATCAAACAATCCTGGCAATTGCATTTGGTTCATCAAGTCACACGTATTTACACTTATCTGCAAAAATATTCTAAAGTAGCGCCAACATGCATATATATCTGCAAAAATATTCTAAAGTAGCGCCAACATACATATATGTACCTGGGGTATCAACCACAACAAGATTCTGCCCATTTTCCAGTAAAGTTGTTGTATGCATCTCGCAAGTGTTGGTAACACGAGTAGAGCTGGACATTGACTTGAATGCCTTTCTTCGAAGAACACTATTCCCTGTTGCGCTTTTCCCATTACCTATTTTTCCGATCAATACTATAGTTTTAGCCACATCACTTGAAGGTGATGCCATTCAATTAAGTCAACTTATCTTCAAAAAGATCAACAACCGTATATCGAGTGTGAAAGAATCAGAATTAGATAACTGCCATGCATTATCGGATCATTATGAAAGAAAAGTGATGAATTTCTTAGAGAGATTACAAGGAGAAACCAAAGTAAAGAGAAGAAAATGGAGATGTATTTGTATATGCAGCTGAAAAATACAATAGCAGGATATTTTCCTCAACCATTAAGAATGATTCCATTAGCATCAAATGTGGTAATGCTATAGACTTCTTGTAGGCATTTTGTATTTAGAAAAATAAAATAAAAAAACAATTGACTTGATCTAAATTAAAAAAGAAAGACCTAGGCAATTGACTTGATCTTAAAATAAAAAACAATTGACTTCTTCGTCCTATCTTCATCTCTCTCTCTTTGCTAACACCCAAATTAGAAATAAACACTTATTGTTAACTTAACTTATAATTACCAAGATTTAGTTAGATGGGATAGGACTCTAGAAAAAATACGGGAATAATTAGCCCGGTCCAATTACATTAGATAGACGAACTAGCAGCAAGCCTAATTTTTTTGCTGGGCTAGGTGAACATTAGTTACTATCAGGCATGAATTCCAATTTTGGGGTGCAAGTTGGAACATAAATTCCAATTTCCACTGGTTTCGATCCGAAAAGTTTCGATTTTGGAACAACTTATTATTTCATTCCGACTTTTGAAATTCCGATTTCCGAATTTTTTCAATTTTTTTGAATTGAAATTGGAATCATATAAAAATTAATTGGAATTCCCGATTTCCGATCCGATTTAATTTCGGAAATGAGTTCCGAAAAATTCCGATTTTTTTTTTCCAGAAAGTACACCTATAAATAATATAAATTATATAATACTTACTTTAGGTTTTTTTTTTAATCAAACATTGATTTGATTTAAGTTTTGTTTTAGAATTTTGACATATTGATTGTTGTTATAAGTTTTTTTGGATTATGATGTGGTTTATTATTTATTTATTTTTTTTAACTGAAATTTAGTAGTTATTACTTTAACTTTATCGACGTGAATATTCTTATTTTTTGAAAATTATTAAAATTCCAGAAAATTTCCGCTAAGTTTTAAAATTTTGTAATTTATGTGATTTTCGAAAAATTTCCGTAATTCCGAAATTTCCGGGCCTTTTGTAATTGGAATCAATTTTTAGATTAGGAAAATTTTGTACTTCTAATTTTTTTGAATATTTTCAAAAAATGCTAATTTCGATCGGATCCATCCGACTTTCACTCCTACTAACCTTAATCCCCCAAACCCCAACCCTCCCCCCACCAAATTGAAAAGACCTTTTTGAGCTGTAGCTGATTAGCTTCTGCCTCCCTGCATACAAATAACACGATACAGAATTAGCAAGTTTTATTTGTGAACTTGGACTTTTAATTAATCTGTCTTGTCTTGTGTGTGTGATGGATATTTAATATTTAATATTGATATTCATATACCACCAGTTGTTTCTCCATCAACCCATTGTTTTGTTCTCACAAATATTTATTCTACTATTAATTAATATATATTTGTTTATTTTAATGAGTCAATCAAATAAATGGACAGTGTCTTCTTCTGTCATCATAATTAAAAACTGCAACAAGTGTGTGTTGAAGTACTCGAAGAAGAATCTTTATGCTAATTGGTGGGCCCTCTCTTTAATCCGGTTAATTGCTGTCAATTCTTACAAGTAAACTGCAAAAAGTACTCCTGTGTAATCTCCGTCCATGTGATAAATAAATTAACACAAAGATTACTAACCTTTCTGAATATGCTTTCCATGATTTGGTGATCTTCTGTTCGAACAAAGATCACTAACCTTTCTGAATTCCATTCAACAACTAGTTGAAATTGATTCTGTTAGGTTTTGATTGGTTTTGTAACTTAGGTTGGTTTTCTTTTTGGTTGAAATGTATTCAATCCAACTCTTTTTGGGTAAATTACAAACACCTCCTCAGGTATGGTTAAATTACAAAAATCCCTCTCTTGTTTGGATAATTACATCTACCCCCTCAACTATGATTTTTTTCTTACACCTCCACCCTTATTGTGCCAAATTCAATATAATCATCTAGATTTCGTGGAATGTGCTCTAGTTTGTATTCGTTTTGTGTAAAAATACAGTTTCCGATGCACTACAAACTGATATACACAAGCTAAAAATCACATATTATGATCATCTTACTTCATAATGTAGAGTTTAAATGGTATAAAACGGGTACAAAAGTGATAATATTTCATATAATCTCGAAGATTCCACTAAATTTGAAGAGATGAGGGGGTGGTTGTAATTATCCAAACAAGAGGGGTGTTTCTGTAATTTGACCATACCTAGGGGGGGTGTTTGTAATTTACCCAAAATAAATTTCATTTGTGGTTCATGATATAAGGTTTGCGCTATGCTATACCCGACCGGCGTATAGATTCGTACATATTTTACTTCTGCTATTCATGTGGGTGAAGAAGCAGCAACTAATAAGGTTGAACAAATTAAATAGAATTCAACTATGAACAAAGTGTTGAAAATAAAAACGAGTTTCGAGATGCGATGGATTTGAAAGGGGCTGGAGAAGATTCGATGAATTATTTCTTCGCCTTTAAGTTTTGGCACGAGTAGTAGACTACAAGAAAACAGGGCTTCACTGACGGAAATTTAGTGACAGGAACGACTGTCACTATTTACTGACACATTGCCGACAGCTTACTGTCTCCGACAGTTAAAAAACTGTTGGAGACAGTAATTTAGCAACGAATACGGGTAATATTAATTAAAATATTTTTGAAGAAAAAAAAAAAGTCAATTAACAGTTAAATTACTGTCTCTGACAGTTAAATAACTGGCGGAGACAGTAATTTAGCAGCCAAGACAGTAATATTAATTAAAATATTTTTTTAAGCAAAAACAAAATTACAAAAAAAAAAAAAAAAAAGAGTCAACGCCGGAGACCCAGCGGTCAACGACAGTTAACCGGCCGGAAAAAAATTTCAGGGAAAAAGAATTTTCAAAAAAAAAACAAAAAAAAATTCAACGGCGGTCTCCGGTGGTGGCGGGTCAAAATTGGGTTCAAAATTGAAATTAAGGTTAAAATTGATTAATTGATGAAATTGGGCTAAATTGGGGTGTAAATCATGAAATTGGAGTTGAATTGGGTTTCAATGAATTGGGGGTAATGTTCGTATATATAAAATGATTTTCCTTATTTGCTAATAAATTTGAATGAGGTGGATTTATTTGAAAGACAAAAAAGTTGGATGTGCCTCTTTTAATTAAGAGTAAAAAGCAGTTTGCCCCCTAAACTATGGGCCGATTTGCACTTTACCCCCCAAACAAAAAAAATTTGCACGTTTTTACCTAAACTCGTTAATTCGTTGCACGGTGCCCCCTAAACTCAATTTTCCGGCAATTTTGACCGGAATGTTATATCATGTGCGATGCACGTGTGATTTGCGGGGGTAAATTTGTCTATTCACTAAAATTCTATATATTAAATATAAATTAACCATTAAAAAACAAAAAAAACAAAAAAAAAAAAAAGAAAGAAAAGAAAAAGAAAATTGTGATCTTCTTCCCCAACAACCTCCCAGACCCATTTCCATGCCAAAAGAACAGAGAGCAACGAACGGAGCAATTAAACCTCATCTCCATCCATAAAAATATTTTCAATCAATTCTACATAGAATAAATTTTTTTACAGAAATTGATTCTCATTCCTAATTTACTTATTCCTTCTTCGATTCCGCCGAGGGTGTCTTCGAACATCTCGTCAATCAAAATAATCTAGACTCCAAATTTTACTCATTCCTTCTTCGATTCCGCCGCCGCCGTTTTGACGGGCTCCTTCCCCGGCTTCACATCCCCATTAGCCTCGTCTGCCGGCGCCGAAATGGAGTCGTTTCGCAACGGGATGGTGGGAGGTTGTGGGCTGGGGTTTGGGCGATAGGTCTCGTTGTCGGAGTTGGGTCCTGGGTTGCTTTGGTAGAATTGATTAGGGAAATTCCGACGGCGGAAGGAGTGGGAATTGGAGGCCGCGCAGAGGAGGAATTTGGGCTAAGCAAGATGAGAACAAGAATAATTTTTTTTTACAGAAGTTGAGAATTAGAGAGAGAGAGAGAGAGAGAGATTTGGCAGATTAAAAAAATGAAAAATGAAAAATGAAAAGAAGAGATAAAAAAGAAAAAGGACAAATTAAACTTTTAGTCAAGATGCGAGTGAATAGACAAATTTAACCCTATCAATTTCACATGTGGCGCGCGTGCACAGATTTCCGGTGAATTTTGCCGGAATATACCACTTTTTGGGCACCGTGCAACAAAAACTCGAGTTTAGGTAAAAACGTGCAAAAAAAAACTGTTTGGGGGGCAAAGCGCAAAATGGGTCATAGTTTAGGGGGCAAACTGCTTTTTACTCTTTAATTAAGTGTCATTTGTCAAAGGCCTTTTGTAATTTATCCGGATCAGATATGTTCCGTAAAACTAATTTCCAACATATGAAATATTTAATATTCCTCAAACTAAACGACATTGGCAAACATACAAAATATATCTGAAATTACATTTTCTTAATGAATATATAAATAATAAAATCACACATGATTCATGATGCACGCAAACATCTTTATTTAGTACAGGAATCGACCCATTGTTCAATCAAGACGAGTACATAGGCTGCAGGGGAAAGGGCGGAATGCTTTGCTCGTTTCTGAAAAAGTTTGACGGGTCAACTTTAGTCTTGACACGAACTAATCGTTCGAAATTGTTCTTGAAGTATTTCATCCCCCAAACCTTAGCCTCGTCGTAGCTTCCAATAATATTTCCCGATGAGTAGTTATTGACCCCTAAATCAAGATCCCTGTAATTGAAATAAGCCCCTCTAGGAGATTTCGACACATACGCGGCCATGTAACCGTATATTCTCCTCATCCAATTTAAGTGCTTTTCCGCTTCTTCGTTTCCGGGCGAATCCCAACTCAACCCATAA